AAAGCTCCAAGCGCTGGTACCCAAGACACTCACGAACAACAAAATGGGCATTAAGTTTAAGCATGTGGAACGAGCTTTTACATACATATTGCAACCTTAAATATTAGTTCTTCCATAGGTATGGGTATGTATGTAGATATATATGAATACATATGTATGCGCACATAACAAAACAGAAGCTATGTACATATACGAGTATACATACATACATAGTATGTATATAAAAATTACACGTTCGTCAGAAAATGCGAAAAACCATTTCTTGGCACATGCTACTCATATGGGCAAGGAAGACTTTACCTTAGGTTTTTTCAAAAAATTATAACAAAACCTTGCTCCAGCTTTTGCTGAAAGGTAAATAAAAGCTCGGTGTACGTTTTTAGGGCATAATTTCAAAACTGACAAATTTTGAGTTGTGTCACTTTTGAACATCGTGTGCGATATTAGCTTGCTCACTAACAAAAAACCACAGTTTTTGCAAAGAGGCTTGACTTATCAGCTGCTACATGATTAGCAGTATATCTATACATACATAAGTAAGTACATATGTATGTATATACATATGTATGTATGTTAAAATTCGAGAAAAAATTATAAAAGGGAGTAAATAGCAACACCGGCTAGCCGGCATATCTCCCAACCAGTGTTGCCACTATGTTCTCGTAAATTAAACGAGATGTCTTGAATTTGCGGGTTTTTTAGCTACACAAATTTGCAGTAAAAAATAAAAAATCAAAACATTACAATGTTGGTGAACCGTTCATACCAAACTTTAAAGTTGTACTAACGCGCTCAAAATATGTATTTCAATTTGCCTGTGTGTTTGTTAGCTTTCAAAAGGTGCCGAGTTTGATGCCGGCAGGCGCTTCATTATTTTTTTTTTGTTTACCGTGAAAAAGCTTATGTTTCAAAACAATTTTCGGCACTTGTCTGTACATACCTATGTTTCTCTAGCATACTTTAGTGGTCAAAGTATCCAAGAATGGATTCGGTAAACGGTCAAAAATCAGCATTTCATCCACTTTTTTCCTTTTTTTGCTGGCCGGGAAGCGAAAAAGTTTTAGTGCTCAATTTGGTTCCATTTACAAAACATTTTTGCCTTCCAAAAGCTTCACCGAACCAACCAAACTACCAAATAGAAATTGAAGCTACCAATTTGGG